CTCTCAGTTTTCGCCGCTCCGCTTGGTCCGGCTCTGCTTATTATTCGCCAATCCGTTTCTTTCACAAACGGAACATGAACCGAGGCTCGGGAATGAACCAATCCACCATGCTTATTACAGGACCGACCTTCCTGACACCATCCATTATCTTTTCGGAAGACATTCAGAGCAGGATTACCCGCTGTGAGGATCCAGGAATCGCAGACGCAGGCGACCAAGGCACTGTTGTTAATCGCACAGACAGGACTGCTTGGAAGTCTGCGAGGCAGCTCTGCCGCTCTCATTTGCGAGGCGGCTTAGCCGCTCTCATTCGCGAGGCGGCTCAGCGGCTCTTCTTCGGCAGAGAAGCGGCTCAACCGCTCTCCTTTTCGGACTCGCAAAAGCAGAGGCGGCTGGGCCGCTCTCGTTCGCAGACGGAGAGGCGGCTGAGCCGCTCTCATGCTGTTCGAATCCGCAGACAGCGAAGCGGCTGAGCCGCTTTCATGAATCACACATACAGAGGCGGCTGAGCCGCTCTCCGTTTGACACGGCATTCTATGATTTAATTAACAAGGCCGTGCAAGGTGGGTCTGAGGTTTAATTACTACGGCCAATCTAAGACCCCGATTGTGACTATGACCTCTAAGACTTCAGGGCCGTGTTGACTTGAAGAACAGGTGTATAGTTAAGTCAAAGATCTGTGTAAATTCCTAAGTACAAAGATTCACACTACAAAGAGTTCGCCGATGAGTGCTTTCGAAGTACTACTAGAATATTTGTTATCTTCCTATGTGGTTCGGGGTCTGCTTTTTCGCCGACCCGCTAGTTCCCGGCTTTCAAGGCTCACTCACATTCACTCGCTCAGTCACTTCTCTCTGTTTCCCTCTTTATTGTCTCCTCCAGCTTCTGCAGTCTCTTTAAACTTATCTGGTCTGCATTTGCAGCATCTTCCTGTAATTTGGCTCTCGGACCATGTGCAATGTGCTTTGATGAAGGAGCAGAAGGAGGCCTTGGAGACTGGACCTCTGACAGGCCGCTGAGTTACGGCATTGTTTCTTATGTGCTAGCAGGTAACCATCGCCAAAGAAGCATGTTTGCAGGATCGGCAACGGGAGAGTGAGCCTCCTCTGCGACCACGCAGCTCGGATCTCCGTTTTGGATGAGCATCCGGAGATGTTCATTGGAGACTAGTTTTGGCCAGAGACGGACCGGGATGTTACGGCCTTGAAATGGTCTCATCCATAGAGTTCCGTTGCTGTGGGCTTGAAAACTCCATCGCCAGTGGCAAGTCTGTCTGTCTGAGTGTGCCCTCTGCAGAGCAGTTGTTGACACAGCATGCTGCCTGCTGACAGCCCCGTGTACCTTGTCAATGGCTGCTGCTGTGAATTTCAAGGGAAGGGCCATAAGCAGTGCCTTGCAGACCAGCATAGCAGAAGCAACAGCTGCATTGGCCTTTCAGGGTCACACTCGCAGCCACAGCTGGAAGTCCAAAACCAGACTCAGACAAGTCAGCTTTGAAGCTTTGCCCGTGGGCTGCTCCCCAGAAGCAGCCGGGCACCTCCTCTCTGGAGGCCGGGCCAGCCTGGTTACCTGGTTCTGAAGCAAGCAATCTTTACGGGTCCCGACCTCCTTTTTTCACGCTCCGTGCTTTTGTAGAACCCACACTATTCCTTTCTCTCAGCCGTTCTTCCCGGTGATCTGATTGAACTTCATCATGGAAACCTCTGCCTGGGCTGTTTTCCAGTCTCCGTGCTTGGGATACTAACGTGGCAGCTGCAAACCTTTCCTTGCTACCTACATAGAAATCGCTACGGGGCGTCTCCCAACCCACACTCGCTGTCGCACAAATTAGTACTGGG